TCAAAGAACAATGAAACCGAGGCACAACACTTCCAAAACAGAGGCCAGCGTCCTTGCATTGAACTTAGAAAAGAATTGCATCTGCAGTAAAATACACCTATGAACTCATGATTGAGGATAGGTAAGAACAAAAGCATTCACCGTACTTGGCAATGCACCTAAAAAGAATATAGTAGCAGCTGGGAAGGTATATAACACCCGCTGCTATGATCAAGGACATTTGAAAACGCTTTACGAGAAGCAATTTTGTACAAGAACATTCGGGAAATATTGCACAGAGCAAAAGTGATATATACTGTATGCATCAAATGCAACAATTGGTGGGACGGGTTGCATCATCGCATAGTGATTCATTCCTGAAATTAAGGGACCTGCTACGATGTAGTAGTTATATAAGAGCAAAAGAGAAGCAGGAATGACATAAAAGTACAGGTGCACTTGCACTTGGACGGTGTCAAAAGAAAGAACTATTGCAGCATGCTATGATCCAAAAAAACAGACAAAAATAAGTCAATTAGCTTTTTGCAGCGTGGAAAGATAGCCGGGCAGTATGTCATGGCCCAAAAGGCAGACAAACCTGATGTCATGTTGATCTTTATTTCTCTAACGCTAACTGATGAGAATGTGGTCTTCCCCAGCTCACAGAATGGGCCCTAACTGGACTAATTCCAACTTCTGTGAAGAATGCATTTGAGGGGTTAGCATCAACCGAGAGCACGAAACGCATAGCAAAATGATCACAAAACATAGACATGATCTTGTTACATTGACCATTCATCTTCCATGCTGTTTTTCAAACAATGCAAAACATGTTTATGTGTACCAAAACAATAGGGTAAAAGTTAAATTATATGCAACATATAGCACAAATGATAGACTAAGGTTAGATGAACAAAAATGCCCCTAAACCCAAATACGGGGGGAAGCAGAATGAGTACTAATTTTGCATAGCCAGCAGCAGTAAGTAAAGCACTCGCCTGCATGAGGAACATCGAAATCCAATTGAAAAATCAAGTCCACACCGAGATGTCAGAACATGAACTACGGTGCATTAGCGTCGGAAGGTTCACTGCCAGATTAAATCACTGGCGAATTGGAGACGACATAGCTGTGTACTCTGAAATGGCACCTGCAGTCCAGAGACAGGTCCTCATCTATAATATATACCAGATGGATCATCGTCCAGGTATGCTGCCATTGCACAGTCAAAAGGATCAGATTAGCTAGATGTACTGATGAATCATGATTGGGGAACGAGTGAATGCTGTTACCTTAACCTTAAAGCACACTCCAATTGGACAAAATATATTGAAGTAGCAGCACGATGTTATAATCAAACCAATCTCGAAGCAAAGAACCCATTCTTTGTCTCTGCAAAGCACGGCGAAGTGATCGGTGAAGAAGGAATCCATGCCACTACAAAACATGGCGTTTTTTGAAGGCCTGCTGCACACTGTTGCGCAAGTGAATACGGCGCAAAGAAGGCGTACGACAAGGTTTCAGCCTCTTCTTCTACCCCCAGGTGGACATGATGCAGGAATCGAAGGCGAGAATGAAGACATGGAGTAATCACCGGCTGGCGATGTTGAGTTCTATCAAGAAGATCGTAGCCATCTCTAGTTTAACGTTGCTATCAGAACTATCTCTTTTCTTTCGTTCCAGTACCTTCGGTCTGTAAAACTCTAGTGGTAGCTGTCTTGCTTCTCTGAACCTACCCAAGTGCTGGCTTAATGCTGTAACCGTGTGAACAATGTTTTCCGTTATGAATGTAATGGAAAGGGGCGTGGCCCATGTCGAAAAAAACAAAACATGGCGTTTGGGGAAAAGAAAAGACGAGGAGATCAGGAACCTCGAGGGCGTGGATGGAGCAGTAGGATTCGTGGCACCGGTGTCGAGCCCTCGGCCGCCTCCGCGTGCCGGCCAGGCGAGGGAAATGAGAGGAATGCAGTTGGACGGACGCAGCGCAACGAACCGGCGGCGCGTCGGACGCGGGACGCGCCGCGCGTATCGGCGACGACGAGGAGCCGGGCCACCCTTCGGCCCAAATATCATTGAGCCCATAAAATGGTGGAAGCTCACAGGCTTTGCATTAATATGAGCCCATTTAGAACCAGGCCTAACTCCCCATCTCCGGTCCAATAGTTTCCAGCCAGGCGATGACGTAATGTCAGAGCCCAATCCAAGGAGCCCACCGTGTCAAAAGACTATACGTTGGAGGAGCTGCGTCAAATTTTTACAATTTAGACCTTTTCGAAAAATCCATTTTGTTAAAAAAAAACACTGGAGTGGCTATCCCCACTGGTGTAGGGGTGATGCTCCTCTCCAATCTCTTGCATTGAGGCATTGGTGGAGCTTTTTTTTTCCGAGCAATTCAGGGGGGGGGGGGGGGGGGGGGGGAGTTTCCCCACCTACTATATTAGTCGAAAGTGATCAGCAAGCTGATTACAGAGCGCGTGTGCACGCACACAAACACATAACATGAACACAAACACACACGTACGCGCACACGCACAATCACATACGCATGCACACACATACAGACAAACACAAAGGTCGGAGAAGCATCCAAACACCACCACAGAAGGGCCACCGATCATCGGTCTGCACCAGCACCATGCTCCTCGCTAGCCGAAACGTGCCATCCAATAGCAGACTTCCACCGTAGACTTCATTGGACCAAGGCATGCGAACCGCAAGCTTTAGCCGTATGGTCGCCACTCTAGTCGACATCCTCCAACGCCCTGTGGGGGAAGGAAGCCCCAAAGGAGGGAGATTAGCCTAAAGAGAACAAGCCCCCTGGCCCTACTAACCCAGCTTCAGACCAAGGAAGAAGCCACCAAAGACAACACAGATCGAACACAAAGACATCTAATCCACAGACAACTAGGAGAATACCAGAGCTCGTCAGATGCATTCATTTGCCGCTCAGCTGACTTGCAATTGGTACCCCATAGCGGTTGACAATGACTACCCGCATTAAGCCAGAACAGGGGCTGACTTCTCAAGGTGCCATCAAATCAGACGCCCTCCGATGCCCTGTGGGGGAAGGAAGCCCCAAAGGAGGAAGGGCCGCCAAATTCAACGCTCATCCAACGCCTATGGGGGGAGGAAGCCCCAGAGGAGGGAAGAACGCTGAGAATGTAGCCAAAGTGAACCAAGTGGAAGGGATGAAGAAGCAGCAAGGAATCGAGCGGAGAGCTCGCCGAATCCAAGTGACAACAAGTGTAGCAAAGTAAGGAGCAATCAACCCGAAAGAAGAACGGGGATTACAAAGAGAGAGCCTACCAATGCCTTTCGAACGGTGAGAAGACCTCCTAGGCGATGCCTTCAAGAAGGAAACGACGCCGAGACGCCGCCATCACCATTAGGTTTTCACCCGGAGAATCTGACGGAGGAGATGTGTGGACACCATAGCAACGCCCCCAACGGGAAAGTGATACAAGATACTACCGCTGCCTGCCTCAGCACTGAACTGGGCAAGGCTTTCGCCTTGTGCCACACACCCCCACTCGCCGAGAAGGACTAAGGGCAGCACTACAGCAGTGGAAAGGATCCACCGCTAGAAGCCCAGAGAATGGAGGCCAAGAACGCAGCACGAGGTAGGAGCAGCAGGGCCCCCACCGAAGACCCCCCGCCGACCTGCAGACCTGCAGAGAGACGGCGGCCATCGCCTCTTGATGGAGCACGGCAGGCAGGTGGCCACCACGACCACGCACCCATGTCGCGGCCATCGCCCGGAGGAACGGGTCAGGGCTGCACCGCTGCCCGTGCCGACGTGAGCAGCAGCAGCCCCGGGGAGTCGCCGACTCCCGCATCGCCGAAAGGAAGCCGCCGTTGCCTGTGGGCAGCCGGCAGCGTCGGTGTCGAGGAGGGGCGAGCACCGGCCGAGTAGCCCCTCTTCTTGTAGATCCGGGCACGGAGACACCGGATCCGGTGGAGAGGAGGCCGGAGCGCCGCTGGGACCGTCGATCCGTCGCCGGCGAGGGGAGGGGTGGGTTGGGGCGTAGGCTGCGCGAGGAGGGGGGAACGGCCCTGCTGCCGCCTTCCCTGCGGCCGCACGGCTTTGCCGGCACCCCGCTCGGGCGGCAGCAAGGCGGGGAGGGGTCGGGGAGGAGACTTTGGGCAGCGGCGGCGGTAGGGTTCCGCCTGTCGCCCTCTCCCGAGAGAGGACGCAGGCTGAGATATTCATTTTTTTCATTTTGTTCATCATCAGGCATTGGTGGAGCTGTCGGATTATTAGCTCGACGACAGGAGACTGGAGAGGAGACAATCCCAAAAGGCTATTAGCACTGCAATGCAGACGCGACGACGTGCGGCATCCTCAACTATAAACCTTGGTACTTTCAGGGGAAGCACGTAAACAGCATAATCTAAACTAGCTCAGGAATGCGACCAGAACGCGCTGCTGCTTAGGGGTGGGCGTTCGGTCATACCCGATGTTTCGGTCCGGTTTTTTCGGTTTTTTGAATTTTCGGTTATCTAGAATTGCTACCCGAAATGACAATAAAAATTTAGGTACCCGACAACTTTGGGTACCTAAATTTCGGTTCGGTCTTCGGTTATACCCAAACTACCCAAATTTAGCATTAATTTTCAGAAAAAGAAAAAAATCAACTTGATTATACCTAAAATACACTATGCAATTAACTTGATAATGACTTACCATTATAAATTAAAAGAAACATGAATATGGTAATATGATGAATGAGTAACAAAGGATACAATGTGACCATTGCATGAGTCTGTGTGCTAAATTCTACATTTATCATACTAATTCGGGTATTTTGGATAGTTTGGGTACTCAGGGTGCTACCCGAAATTGAAAAATAAAATTCGGTCATCTACGACTAGTACCCAATCAATTACCCTAAGACCGGAATTCCGGTCTTTACGGTCTCGGTCTCGGTTTTTTCGGTTTCGGTGTTTGGGTATCGGTTTTTGTGCCCACCCTCCGCTAACCTAATATATAAATATGGTTGTTTCTATCATCCAACACCAAATCTGTGGTGGCTCGGTTGGATAGTGCATAGGTCTCATAGCCGTTGAGACATCTTGAGCTCGAGAGTTCGATTCTCTCCCACCTCATGAAGAAACAAAGCCGTGATGATTCGCTTGTGACACACATGGGTCGTCACAATCATCTGATTTAGGATGACATAGCGCTAGCTGAGCTTGTACTCTTTGTTTTGTTTTATACTCTTTTTTTTTTCTAACTTTGCGTTCTCAAGGTAGGCCCGCCTTGTCTCTTTCATTCGCTTCGGCCATGCGAAACCTAGCTATTCATTTTAGCTTCCAAAGGTATTTATCTCACAGTCAATCTTTTAGATTCAACCTTAACTATGTTAATATAGCCTTGGATCTTTGCAAAAACTGTTATGAAATTGTGCGAAAACTTCAAGACATTATTGCAATTTTTGAGTTGGATGAATTATCAAAGGTGGATCGTTTAACTGTAGCATGAGCACGAAAATTGAGCGGTTCTTATCACAACCACCTTACTGACAAGTGACAAGTCACTACATTTAACTACCGAATTAGGATAGTATGTTAAACCATGATGGTAAATCTGACGATGATAGTAATATTTTCAAATAGTAGAGAACATACTTCATTCAATAATTAATGGATAATGTACGGCAACTTTCTTAGCTCAAAAATAAACTAAAATGTCATAACGTCAACAATACAAAACCAAAGAAATATCTAAAATAAAAAATACCACATTAACCCTATTGATGTTATCTATGGCTAGTCCCCTGATGTTTTCAAGTGTGCCACATAAACAATAAAACATTTATTTTGGTGGTCAAAATATCTCATCCAATGCATTGTTTTATTTTTTCTATGTTTTCTACGCAATATTTTTTGTGAAAAGGAAATTTCATTAATATTGAAGCATATTACATCCCTTGATTCCAAAAACATCATAATCAACACCAACTCCATTGATGGGAGACAAGAAACCTTGAAAACATCACAAATTCCACCATCTAGAATCACCATCCCAAACAAATATGCCACGGACGAAAACTCTGATATGAATGACACGGCCATCTCACCATCTACCACCGCCATCCTCATACCCGACGGGGGAAAACTGAAACCGTCCTTTCGCAAAAGAGGGGTAGACTGATATTCCACATGCACATACGACGAACTTACCGCCGTCACCCGTAGCCGAGCCTATCGTCGCCTCCTTAACTATATTCGCAATGAGAAAATACAAATCCGACCAACATCCAAATGAATGTCATCAGAAACCAAACTCTCACTAGCCCACAGCCATGGCCACGAAGAACCATGACGAGACAAAAGAAGGACCGGAGTACCTTATTCTCCATCGATGATGACGCATTTGACTCACCACAACTGCTGTGACACCTCGTCCTCCATTGATCTATGCCTACAAATTTGGCAACACAGCACCGCCGCCACTTGCGCTGATCAGATCACTAGAAAAACCCTAACCCTAACAACCGCAGTAGCCGCCGCCTGAAGCGATCACTGCGGGAAGAGCTAACTACCTAGACCTAGGAACGAACAAGCCGAGAACACCGGATGCCGGGCCTCCCTCCTGACGGTGATGCCGCCGGAGACGAGGGGGCCGGCCAATCATTTTTTAGAGGAGCCGCCGCCTCGCTGGTTTCCAGTCTTTTGGCGTCGGGCATTGGTGGAGCTGTTGGATTATTAGCTCGGCGATTGGAGACTAGAGAAGAGACAATGCCAAAAGACTATTAGCACTGCAATGAAGATGCGACGACGTGCGGCATCCTTAACTAACTATAAACCTTGGTATCTATCTATAATATCTATATAACACATACCCACTATCTATCACTAATGATTCTAAAGCTCAATTCGGGTGAAGCCACGTCACTTAGAAAATTTAAGCCGTTGGATATCCTTCAGCATTTTGCATCTAGCCATCTATTTCCTCACCACTCAACAGTCATACGTATTAATCATTCACTTGAGTATTTGATGAATGCCAGCATTCGGCAACACAACATCAATTCGGCAGTTTCTGTTACTTAAGTACAACATCAGTTTTTATTCCATTTAAACCCACCAGCCCACTAGCCAAGCACAGAGATAAGTTGTGCAATCAATAGGCCCACCAGCAGGGACTTCACAATCCAAAAATATGAAAGCGCCCTCCACTATTGCCTCATACCCCTTAGTTATCTTTTTTTTGGGACGTTAATAAAATAGTTATCACGCCTAGCAGTTACCACACATTAAATCGCTCCTTTCATTTCAACATTCTACCTCACAGGCACAACTATATATGCTGCTCATATTCCTTTCTACCTCATCAATCATGTACTTATCTAGCTACCTCCATCACATATTCTCATCGCAAAATGTATGGAGTGCAAAAATTCCTCACACAGGTTATATATCCCCGGAGACTACCATGTTCCACTTTCTTTTTACCTGCACTTAAATCCTTTTAGTGATTTACCTTTCCTATGATGAGATCATCTTTGTTTTGTTCATGTTTTGTTACTTTTTTTTGTGCCAGCGAAGCATTCATGTTTTTTGTTACATACTTTGTTTTCTACTAACAACAAAAATACTACTTTTCACCAGGCCGGCACCAAAAGCATCATATGATCCTCTTCATTGCTCTTCATCAGTTTTCCCAAGAAGATATATATAAAGCACATACCTGGACGTGATGAATATCCTCAAGGATGCTACAAAACCAAGAGTTTGTCTAACTATGACAAGAAAATATCAAGGTGAAGACATAATCAAGCAACTGCCATCTTACAATCAGACGATCACTATGTCGAAGGGAGGACCATTCCACCACACAATTTTCACAGTAGAATAGGATTCCACGCACAAAAAAAAAATTCTTCATTTACTTATAACTGTATTTTATTTTGCCAACAAATACCACTCTATAGATATACATGTATTTATCCTATATTCAAATTAAATAATATACCTTTGTGTGTGTAAAAAAAAAGCATTGGCACCACTATTTTTTGCATTATCAAGTGATATATAAAATTGCACTCAAAATCCCGCAGCAATGTGCAGAGAATTCACCTAAGTACTTTTAGGGGAAGCACGTCAACAAATTCAGCATAATCTAAACTAGCTCAGGAATGCGGCCATAACGCGCTGCTGCTTGTGCTCTCGATGCTCTACCCTGTCCACTCACCTACTCTATAAATACCGTTGTTTCTATAATCCAACACCAAATCGGTGGTGGCTCAGTTGGATATTGCGTAGGCTCATTGCCGTTGAGACATCCTGAACTCAAGAGTTCGATCCTCTCCCACCCCAATAAGGAACAAAGCCATGATGATTTGCTTGTGACACACATGGGTCCTCACAATCATCTGATATAAGATGATATAGCGCTAGCTGAGCTTGTACTCTCTCTTTTTTTTTAATTTGTTTTAGGGTTGCGTTCTCCCGCCTTGTCTCTTTCATTCGCTTCAGCCACGTGAATCCGCTATTCATTATAGCTTCTAAAGGTATTTATCTCGCAGTCGCAATTCTTGGGTCGGATGAATTATCATAGTAGGATCGTTTTACTGTAGCAAGAGCACGAAAAATTAAGTGGTTCTTATCACAACCACCTTTTTAACAAGTCACTACATTTAACTACCGAATTAGGTTAGTTATGAATACATTCACGTGTGTTAAACCATGATGGTAATCAGACGATAATAGTAATATTTCCAAATAGTAGAACATGCTTTATTCAGATTGATGCTGCACGACAACTTTCTTAGCTCAAAAATAAACTAAAATGTCACAACGTCAACAATACAAATCCGATCGAAGAAATATCCAAAATAAAAAATACCACATTAACCCTATTAATGGTATCTATGGCTAGTCCTCAAGTTTGCCACATAAGAAACAGAACCTTTATTTGATGGTCAAAGTATCTCATCCAATCCAATGCATTGTTTTATTTTTTCTATGTTTTCTAAGCAATACATGTAGAAGACAACCCGTGTTAAAAACAATGCACCCATCACATTTCTCCTAATTAATTTGTCGGCACATCTCTAAATTTGATGATATGACATATATTATTTAATGAAAATGAAACACCTAATTAAGCGATATCACTGATGGTGTCATGATGAGAGCGTCGAGGCCGCAACAGCATTACGAGCATGATAAGCACACACACCGCCGTGTACAGGGCGAATGCAATAGCCGCTGCTGCGATTCCCTAGTTATGGTAGAATTCATAGCACACCAGCGCGCCGAGAACGAAGGCCAGAAGGACAGCCAGGCCCCTCGCTCGTCGGCAGCGAGCGTCGGCGGCGTAGTGAACCAGCAGGCCCGCCGAGGAGAAGATCGCCGCCATCATTGAGAACTCGTCCATCCGGCCGCCGAGCTGGTAGAGCACGGAGAGCGCCGCTGCCCCGGCGAGAACGCGAGAAAGGGCAGCCCTCATCATGACTGATCGTAACGGTGCCCTGTCGATCATCAGAGAGTGAAGAAACGAGCATGTGAAAATTGTATCTATCGACGGAACAGATAGAGAAAGGCTTCAGTGAGTGTTCAGGCACCAGTATCGACGGAACAGATAGAGAAAGGCTTCAGTGATCTCTTTCCGCTCTAAGCAGCAATTAAACCAAAAGAATCCATATAGTATAGCTGTAACCATCTTTCTCTTCTTTGTGACCTCATCACTTTTTATCATATGCACTTGACATTTATTTGTGAGGTTGGTGCCCGCATTTCACACTGATGCACATTTAATCATGCGGTATATTCGTTGCTTGTTTAGCATCAGCTCCAATCTTCTCCTCAAACTAGAGCATTGTTAATAGCTCCCAAGAAAGATTAGCTTTGCTTTTCACTCCACGTTTATGCCTCTACAAGTACATTATTTGGCGAAGGCACAAATTAGGAATGAGATTAAATGGATTGTACAATTTTCAACAACACAAACAGAATGGCTAGTAGGTTCTCAAACTTTCTTGCACTGATGTTCTGCGGAATCAAATGTCCTGTTGTTCTTCCATATAGCTTTGAACATTTGAGAACATCAATCATACTTGATTCCAATATAGACCCTATGTTAGTTTCTCTAATAATTT